CGCCCTTCTCGCTCGGGACAATTGCTGGTCTCCTATGTACGACCTCACAAACCGGTTTCCTCTACAACCTTGGTGCGATGGATCAGATGGTTCTTGTTTTTGGCAGGCATGGATCCAGCTTTCGGAGCGCATTCAGTTAGGGGCGCGGTGGCATCTGGGGCCCTAGTGGCTGGCGCTTCACTGCAAGACATGCTGCGTTCGGCTGACTAGTCTCTAGAAGACACTTTCTGAAAATTTTATTTCAGAACAGCTGTTCATGCTTCGTTGGCCTTGTTGGTTGAGTGTTAAAACAGCAAATATGAAGCCTCCTCTCATGTTATAAAATTGTGGATTATGCTAGCTTTAGTGTATCTATAATCTTAATTTTATTAAGGCAAATCACAAGCAAATTTGCTTGCACTGAGCAGAACAAATACAGGGCCTTTTTCTCATGTGAGAGCTCTGCACATGGGCTGCCCTGGAAGAGTATTGAACAACAAACATGCTTACTTTGAGGGGGGCGTGCTTGTCATAGATGATGGCAAAACACCCCCTCTCTGGCTGCATCCCTTTACACTGAGCTTCTGTGATTGAAAATACCGGGGCCAAATTTTTCTCTCAGTCCAGCCCTGAATTTGAACAACATTAGATATAGACCACATTTTATTTGAGTGTATGTTTATTCTATTTGAATGTGAGCTCTTTTGGGCCTATAAAATTCTGAAGTTTTTGAGACTATTGTATTTATCTTTGTATAATATGTGCAATTTATGTTGACTTTCCAACTTTATTTTCCATTATTATTTTCCATTTATACTTTGAAATTTTAACCAAACTCTTCAGCTTATCAGATTTCTGCTATTTTATGTTGTTTTGCTCAGTCACATGAAAGCAGTGGCATACATAATTTCTATAACACCATAGGCTCTGTAGTATTGTAGAAAAGGATTAATGAACTATGCCTGGAAAATTTTTGTTTTCATGTTTTTTCAGAACTGAGTAGAATATTAACTCGTCTGTTTTTTTATTTTTTCGGTTTTTTTTGTTTTTGTTTTTTTTTTTAACCCCTTAAGGACACATGACATGTGTGACATGTCATGATTCCCTTTTATTCCAGAAGTTTGGTCTTTAAGGGGTTAAATGACACAATTACATCCCATGTGCTTTTTAGATTGCTGGATAAACAATTTGGAATACATAATTTATGCATTATAAATAATATATCCTATAGCAGAAAATGTTTAGTCATCATATTATCTATAAAATAAATACAGGGCTAGCTAAAATTTAAATTAAAAAACAGAATGCAACATTTATTTATGCATTTTTAAAACAATAGGATTCTGAAAGCATATCACTGGTCACTTAGTAGGTTATCATAAGATTGATAGGAACCCATAGGCAAGGCATTTATAAGGGTCTGATAGCATTCCAAAAGGTTGAAATAATCCCAATCAGGTTTTCAAGACACATCATCCAATCCAGGATGTGGGCATTTCACATTTCTGTTCCTATGGGTATATTGACAAAACTCAGACTTTTGGTATTCCTAGAGGATGCTTATATACATCTAACCATTTCAGTTTCATATTGTGAGGATATTTATGGAGTAATAAATATTACAAAATAATATTTCATACAAATTATCAAAAATGTATTTATTAATTTGTATTACTATCAAAAGTTTATATTTTGGCACTATTTCACCACTGCTTTAACTCTCATAGACCCTGGAGTACATTTATTAGAGGATTTATATTTCACATATTAACCACAACTGAATATAAAAAAAATATAATTTATTGTGACAAATTATTATTAATAATAATAATAATCTGTAACATGCATTACAATATCAGTGAATATTTAGGGATAACAATAAATACAAGATATAGCAACAGTTTTGACACAATAACCACAATTAAAGGTAGCTTCATAGCAACATATCCAGCAACAGGAGTTGATTAACTTCTAAAGTATTTACAAGCAAAATTACAAATAATTCCACTAGAATTTAATTAACAGTTATTTCAACTGAGATGCCTTTCTACAATGCTACAGGAAACTTTCAGAGTTCTGCTAGAGAATTCCTTTACACCCAGAATGCAACACAGAGCACAGTTTAAAATCATAAAAACCTTAGATGTTGACAGTTTGCAAGAATCACACAGATTAGGTGTCTCCAGAGTGTGTTCCTCTCATCTGATGATCTTGCATCCAACCCTTTCGATCTGACCCTGGATCTCCTTTGTCCTCAATTTTAAAGAATTTAGATTGACCAATGGGATTAGGTGGGTGTTCCTTCTACTGATTGTCTTATAGACATTGATCAGTAGATGGCGATAGCATCACAATAATTTCTCATTACGAATTCAAACTTCCACTTTGTCAAAGGGGTTAATTGAATTTCGTGATGCATACAATGTCAAAAATGTCTTATTGCTACGGTGCATCCATCAAGCTAGCTGTAAAACTTCAAAAGATTTTGTTAGGCTTGCAGTCTCATTTTTGGGTCATAAAGTATATTTTTGACACATCTGGACTTTGGTTTAACTCTCTCTAACAATGGATTCTTGTAGGAATCCCATTCAATTTAAAAAGTAAAATTACTTAGGGAATATCTCTTTCTGGTAAGTTTATCTTTGTCTGGGTTTCTTAGTTACTCAAGTTCAATCCAGTGGGCAGATTTATTGGAGCAGAAGCAAAAACTAAATTTCAACCCACAACAGGCCCTTTGTCAAGCTTGGCAAAGGCCCTGTTGTGGCCCCTGGACCATCATTACTTTTTTAGAAAATCAAATTGTGAGGATTGACCAGCCTCAGGCCCGGTTGCACCCTGGGATCCAGAAGAGTGTAGTATCCATATTGGTAATTATATTTGTTTTCTTAGTTACACTGCCTTATTGTATGAAATTAATGTGTCTGTATTAGATGTGATTTATACATGTCTTTTACACACATTAAGCTAACATTAGTTTGAGGGATCGACCGATTATCGGTTTTACCGATATAATCGGCCGATATTCAGTATTTTCGGCAATATCGGTATCGGCCAATTCAGATACCGATATTGCCGATAATACCTCCTAGGACCGCCGGGCTCATTACAAGCCCGGCGGTCCTGGGGGGGGGCCGCAGGTAGCATTTACTTACCTCCCCTGCAGCTCCTCCAGCTCCCAGTGTAAATCTCGCGAGACCCGCGGCCGTCAGGCACTAAGGGCCGCGAGATTTACACTGGGAGCTGGAGGAGCTGCAGGGGAGGTAAGTAAACGCTACCTGCGGCCCCCCCAGCTCAGCCAATGCCACTGGACCACCAGGGACTGTCATATCCCCCCTCCCTGACCAGGTAACAAGCAGGGAGGGGGGACAACAAAAATAATAAAACATAAATATTAAAAATAAGCATAAAAAAATAAACATAAATATTAAAAGTTAAAATAAATAAATATTAAAATAAACATAAATATTAAAAAATAAAACAAACATTAAAAATTAAAATAAAAAAAAATGTCCCCCTCCCCCGCCCCCCATTTTACCCAAATCACATCCCTTCAGGAAAACACACACACACACACTGCATTATATACACACACTCTACACACTCTGTATATAACGCAGAGTGTGTATATAGTGTAGTGTGTGTATATAGTGTAGTGTGTGTATATAGTGTAGTGTGTGCGTTTATAATGCAGTGTGTGTGTCTATATAATGTGTGTGTGTGTGTATATAATGCAGTGTGTGTGTCTATATAATGCAGTGTGTGTGTCTATATAATGTAGTGTGTGTGTGTGTGTTAATGCACACACTACACACACTGCATTATATACACACATACACACTGTATTATATACACTACAAACACTGCATTATACATACACACATACTACAAACACTGCATCATATACACACACACACTACAAACACTGCATCATATATACACACACACACTACAAACACTACACACTGTATTCATTATATACACACACTATACAAACACACTGCATTCACTATACACACACTATACACACACTGCGTTCGCTATACACACTAAACACTGCATTCACTTTACACCCACTACACACACACACACACACACTGCATTCCCTTTATACACCACACACTACACAAACACACACTCTGCATTCATTATATACACACTACAGTCACTGCATTAACTATACACACTACACAAACACACCCTGCATTCATTATATATACACTACACAAATATACACAGCTCCACTGTCTAAACACACTGCATCCAGTGCATGTGGCTTTTATATTTTGTGCATTTACCTTTTGGAAATAGTTTATTTTTTCAAAATGGTAAATGTACAGAATATCGGCAAGTTATCGGCTGTCGGCCTGAAAGTTAACAGATTATCGGTATCGGCTCTAAAAAATCAATATCGGTCGATCCCTAATTAGTTTTTAATAATATGAGCTTTATTCATTAGATTTCATCTATGAATATTCAAATATTATTAACATTAACTATTAACCTAGGTAATATTTATATATAGTATACAGTTAATATATTATACACAAGATCCAGCGCACTCACCTATCCACCAAACAGCAACTTCAATGTTGACAGATGTTTTTAGTTTTTTTAAACACCTAATCTAGGCAACAATAATGGGGGTTTACTTACATTATATGATCATACATTGCATAAGCCTGCCACAATGCTAATGTACCCCATCTTGAATGGAGTGGGAAAGAAACTAATGTGTCTGGGTTCTTACACTCTTTTACAAAATGTAGTCACATCTGTTAAGTAGTGACTTTCAAGTATACATTTTTAGTTTCAGTCATACCACAAAATGTCTGACAACAAAATACCTAACAATATAAAGTAAACATAGCTATCAGAGCACTATAACTGGTTAGATTCCAAGCAAACCAATCACAATGCTCTGACAAAAATGTTACAACATCAGAAGCATACAGGCATCTTCCACCTTTCCGTCCGTGCACCACCTTCCAGACAGTCAAGCATAAGGGTGATAAAGGATTTCCTTTTTTGTATTTGTAACGGACCGTTTCTCTCACAAAGGGATAAATCCGTTTAGGCGATAATCCCCTTTCCCATAGACCAGCAGCTATTGCAATCACCAACCTCCCAAACTCCAAACTGTACGAATCCCCAACTCACGAACAAGAAATACACGAACTCTGGAAGCAGCCGAACAGGAAAAGCAATACGAACGGCTTACACTCCTGGCAGTCAGCACACAATCCAATTCCCCCAATAACGAGACGACACTTCGTTTTGAGGGTTAAGCAGAATCTGCAGATTTATTCACACCACCTCCTTTTAAGACATTCTCCCATGCAAGGGAGGGATCCACAACAATTAGTACCCCAGCCAATAATGTACCAGTTACCTCCCACACATCTCCTCCCCTTAGTGTGACACATAATCCCATTAGTACAAACACAAATTCCCTGGGATACTGGATGTACCCCTAAACATAGGGATACCCCTTTAAATGTTACATCCCCTGGTAGCCCTGATCTGGGTGAGACACATATCCGAAAATCACCCAGATCGGACCAGGGGTTCAGGAATTATAAAGGGTTAAAGTTTTGACCGACTGCATGGCAAAAGTATCCGAAAATAGTTCCATGTATTTTGGCCCTGCAGTCGGTCACAGAAAAGGGAATCAAACACACGAATTGCCTGTGTTACAGAGCTTGGGGAGGATTCGTATGAATCCCCCTGTTCGTGGGATCCTTTCTACCGAACGGCGGGCCGTTCGGTAGTTTCTGCACGAATTGCTGGAAGTCTGGAGGTCTCAGCGGTGTTTGCTTAGTCGAGTGTCCGATTTTAGTTCCAGACACTCGACGGCAAAACACCGCTGTTCGGGAGTTTAAGATGGCCGCCGCCACGTGTTCGTTTCCCGAATGGCGGCCACCCAGAGGACAAAACACACATTACACATATTGCCAATTACCCGTTTGCAACATTGTTGCAAACGGTAATTGGAGGCACACTTACTCCAGGGTGGTCTGGTTGTTCGGTAGTTTCACCCAATATAATGAATGGAGTAATTCTACCGAACAATCAGGCGAATGCTGCATACACATAACACTGTTTACCGAACATATAATATTAAATACAGCCTGAATGCAATTTGCTACACAGTCTTAAAAAGGCATTATTCCTAACAGGCAGAATATGTCCACGGATGGCCCTTAAAGGGCCAGTAGCAGCAATATAAAAATGTCACATGCCCAAATATTGCATACAAAAGTACAAATTCACAAGGGGGCCATAGTCAGATGGCAGGAGGCTGGCAACCAGGCTTCTCCAGTGCATAGTGGCGAGGTTGGTTTCGCCACAGTATTGTTTTTATTTTTTCAGCAAATTTTCCTGGAGATATTTAGAAACATAGAATGTGATGGCAGATAAGAACCATTCGGCCCATCTGGTCTGCCCAATTTTCTAAATACTTTCATTAGTCCTTGGCCTTATCTTATAGTTAAGATAGCCTTATGTCTATCCCAAATAATCACCCCTAAACCTCCTTCCTCGAATGTTGAGGTTAGGACTCTATCAAATATTCTGTACTCTGCCCTGGGTTTTTACATCCAAGATGCATTATCTTGCACTTATCAACATTAAATGTCAGTTGACACAACTCTGACCATTTTTCTAGTTTACCTAAATCATTTTGGCTTATCCCTCCTGGAACATCAACACTGTTACATATCTTAGCATCAGCAAAAAGACATACCTTACCATCAAGACCTACTGCAATATCTCTAATAAAAATATTAAAGAGAATGGGTCCAAGTACAGATCCCTGAGGTACCCCACTGATGACAAGCCCATGCTTTGTATATACTCCATTGACTACTACCCTCTGTTGCCTGTCACTCAGCCACTGCCTTTCCCATTCAACAATATTGGAATCCATACTTAAAGATTGCAGTTTGTTGATAAGAATTCTATGTGCAACTGTGACAAAAGCCTTACTGAAATCTAGGTAAGCAATGTCTACTGCACCACCCTGATATATTATTTTAGTTACCCAATCAAAAAAATCAATAAGATTAGTTTGGCATGATCTCCCTGAAGTAAACCCATGTTGTCTCTGATCTTGAAATCCATGGGATTTTAGATGTTCAACAATCCTGTCCTTTAACATTGTTTCTATTACTTTCCCCACTACAGAAGTAAGGCTTACTGGCCTATAGTTGCCCGACTCCTCCCAACAAATACTTTGGATACTGTGTTTTAATATAGTAGAATCATGTTTATACACACTATTACCGATTAGTATTAAAGGATTGGTAGGGTTTGGGCACCCCCTATGAGACAGTAGAATTGGCATCACATCATCTTACAGACCCTAGCCTAAATTGATTTATCTAAACATTCTAAACATGTCAATCAATCTAAACTTTCACTTTCCTTGAGGAGAGTAGCACATCTTGCCACTCTTTCTTGTAGGATGGATGTGGTTAATTGGTGAGGAATGTTTCCATTAAGGATATCATTTATGAAAAAAAAAAAAAAAGCCTTTTTTTGCCTGTGGAACGGCAACGCTACTTAGTAAGTAGCAAATAGCTTTACAGTTTCCTTATGGTTCCTTATAAAGTTATTTTGCTCTGGCCAGTATTCTTTACTAACTATCATCGTTGCAATGATATGCTAGTCAGTAAATAGCATATTTTACCTGGCTAATCATGGCAACATTTAACTAATGGGTTAGCTTCACCCTCCAACCAAGAGGAAGGAAAATCTCTTTAAACAATTAAAGCGAAGGTATAATAGGCTCCCCAGCATCCATGGACCTCCAGTCTATTGTTTTATCCACTTAGCCTTAGGACATACCGTCACTTAAAATTTACATTTTATGCTCACCTGACTGTTCTATAATGGTCTTGTCCCTGAGAGGTCACTCTCCCTCTCCAGGAAGCCACAGGTACATGCAGCCCATTTCCTGGCGGTTGGGAGCCCCTGGGGTCTGCAGGGATTAGTATTCCCTTTGGTGCAATGCACTTCATGAAGAATTCCAGCAGTGTGGCTGTAATGCTTGTCAAAAAAAGGAAGACTAAATGAGGAACACAACTGCAGAAATACAAAATTGGTAACCGTACCTTTAAGAGAATCTCCAATAAACTTAAAAAGTCCTTGGAAGAAATGCAATGAGTATTCAATTATTCCAACCTCCCAAAAGGTTTACTTAAATTGTAGTTAGATTAGATTGTCCAGCAATAGCAGAATAGTAGGTTGCACAGCAAGGTAATAATAGACAAAAAGTATGGCAGCAGCAAGTTATTAGCAACACTGTTATTGCAATAGGTAGTGTAGCAGATTGTAGCAAAGTAGTAACGAGCCAAGGTTATGAATAGAAGTTATTTGAGATATACTTTTGTAACTTCAGGCATCTTCAGTGAAGTTTTGGATGATCTCTTAACATCCCGGTTCTTGGGGGCAGGAGAAGTCAACAACGTCGATAATCCAAGCAGGTTCGTGGGATGGAGAGATCAGCAAGGTCGATGAAGAAGGTCCGGTTCAGTACACAATAATCAATTTAGGTAGTAGCTCAGTTTGTAAGATCTCTGTTCGAGCAAATTAGCTAAGGGATTTGCTTTTGGCGCGGTTTCCTTATAAGGCGGGGATGACTCGCATCATACAGGTGGGAGGAGTCCCGAATGCCAAAGTAAACTCAGAGGGATCGAGGTTCGGTAAGATCTGACAGTGGCAGTTTGAGAGCGCCTATAGGGCCAGAAAAAAAGCAGAACTTTGCCATTCAACGCCACTTCCCCACGAGATCATGTCAGACGTAGGCAGATGTGCAATGCACTTGGATCGAGTAAGCCCTTACTGCCCATTTCTAAATGGGTGGTTGGGGCACTTACCTCTGAAAAGCACGTACATGAGAATTTAAAGGCGTGGAATGCAAATTTCAAAATGCAGCAACACACTAAGTTAATTTTGGAAAATGTATTTTCATTCCCTGAATGAATTTTGCTCTCTGGTTGCAATTTATAGTTTCTGCAGGTAAAAAGATTCTCTTATTTGCAATATTTTTATTTAAGGCCTCCTTTTTTTAGCCTATCTGTAATTATGGAGCTATCTTTCACCTCTGAAAAATCAGTTAAGGTCATAGGTGAGCATTGTTTATATGTAGAGTTGAGCGAACCCGGACTGTAAAGTTCTGGTTCGTACCGAACATTAAGTATCGTATGTTCGGTTGGAGTTCGGTGTTCGGCGATTTAATGGTGCGTTTTGAAAGGCTGCAGGGCAGCCCATCAACAAGCGTTTGACTTGTGTGCCCTTAGAAGCCATCAGAGCCATGCCTACTAATGGCATGGCTGTGATTGGCCAGTGCAGCATGTGACCCAGGCTCTATCTATAAGCTGGAGTCACGTAACGCTGCACGTCACATGAGCTCTTATTAATGTAGGGAGAGCTACCCCAATTAAAAAAACAAATAAAAAACAGTGTTGGCTACCTCCTCCTCCTCCACCGCCGCTTCCACCTACACCACCACGGTCACCGTCTCTTAAACCTATGGGTTACTTTGTATAAACTATGCAGGGCCAGATTAACATAGGGGCTGATGGAGCTGCAGCTCCAGGCCCAGGCCCATGGAATAGGCCCATTTAAAAAAAAAAACAAACTTTTTTTTTTTTTTTTTACACACACACTACTCTCAGGTTTGCCACCTGACTGGTATTTTACCAGTATTTGAGGCTGCCTGGCCATGCCGGTATTGCAGTAATACCGACAATAGAAAATGCAGGTATTTTTCTCAGTATAAATGGAGATTACTCTGTAATACCAGCACTAACCAGTAGGGGTCACTGTGTGTAGAGAGAGGCAGGGATAGGAAGTTACAGCATATCCCTCCCTGCCTCTCTCTCCTCACTGATCTACAGGGGAGCAGCTACACAGCACAGAGAGTCCAGACAGCAGCTCCCAGCCTGCAGAGACAGACTACAGCTCAGGTAAGTGAAGTATGGGGGGAAAGGCAGCAGGGAGACATGGGGACACGGAGACACTAGGGGACACTGAAAAACTAGGGGACACTGTGAGATATGGGGATGCTGAGATACATGGGGACATTGGGAGACACACTGAGACACATGGGACACAGTGTCTCCATGCCTCCAAGCCAGTGTCCCTATTGTCTCAGTGTCCCCTAGTCTCCCAGTGTCTATATCCCCATGTCTCTCAGTGTCCCTAGTGTCTCAGTGTCACCATGTCTCCCAGTGTCCCCAAATGT